TTCTTTCCTTTGAAGCTCTACCCAGCTCCCTCCTCTTGGAAGCCTTCCCTGATTAATCCGACTTTGAATGTTCTTTTCCTCATTGGTGAGTGCATCCCCCTCCCCCACATTAAAATATCCATTGCCTGAGGGAAGTGACGACACCAATTTCAAGGTCGAAAGAACCTAGATCTGGAGCTAATAGTGACCTCAGAGGTCATCTGCTCCATCATTTTATAAATGAGGAAACTGAGGCCTTTCAAAGTGAAGGGATTGGCCCAATGGGGTCACACAGATGGTGATCGTGAGAGGTGGTATCTGACCCCAGAGTTACTGCATGAAGCTATTCCCCTGCACCATGCCTGGCGCCACAGGAAACATTTTTAATGCATGTTTGCTGAATCTAATTGAATAGAATGAGCAAAAGTATTAAGGTGAGAAAGAAAGGGAGTCACATGTGATGAGGCCAGACAGGCAGTCAGTCAATCACAGGCACAGGACTTCCTGGTTAGAAGGCACCTTGGAGATCTTGCCCAATGCTCTCATTTTACAGCAGAAAAAAAAAACCAAAATGTTGTTCAGTTGGAGAATGCCTTAAATACCAGGCTAAAGCATTTGGACTTGAGTCATTTTGCCCTGCGGCTCTGGTGCTCTCTGTGAGTCTTTCTCACTCATCCCTGGCCTACCCAATATGGTTCACTTCCAAGATTTTATCATTTAATTCAGAAAGCACATATTAAGTGTCTCCTATGTGCACAGCACTCTGCTGAGTCCTGAAGATACAAAGCTAATAATGAATTAGCCCCTGCCCTCAAGGAGCTTCCACTCTACTGGGAGAAAATGACATATACAGTTATCCCTCCCACTTTGTGACTTTCCCCATCTGAGTTTCAATATAATGCCAGTCGGGCATAGGAAATTAAATGGGAATTTTGGGGGAGTTTTGAGGAAGCCGCAGACCACAAAGAAAAAGTTTAGAAACTCAGAAATGTATACCATATAGGTATAGTATTATATAATATCAACCCAAATTTTAAATAAGGTACTGTAAACACCCCTTAAAAGAAAAAGAAAAAATTCAGGTTTCTTCTCTGGTATGAAGGGAGGGCCAAAAAATTTTACTTGGATTTTCCAGATCGTAGGGGCACCAGGCCCCTAATCTACAGAGTGTGGAAGGGATAACTGTACACATGGCAGCAGTGTGTACAAAACAGCAAACGAAGTGATATCCCAAGTGACTTCCAGCCAATAGCAAGAACTAAGAACGAAGTGGCTGGGGGTAGGGCATGGGTGAGGTGATGAAGGAAGCCAAGGTAAGAGGGATTGGCTTCTAGGTATGGGGGATAGACTGGGCAAAAGTAGAGAGACCAGAGGTGGAATGTGTGAACCTCTCAGATCAGATAGAAATTCCTTTGTCACTGAAAGCTCTTCATAATTTTATATCTTTCTACATTTCTAGTCTTACACCTTACTCTCCTCAATATACCCTATAATCCAGCTACACTAGCCTGCTTGCAGTTCCTCTAATGTAACTTTCCCCTGAGATGACCTGCCATCATCTCTCTCCCTCTCTCTCTCTCTCTTCTCTCTCTCTCTCTCTCTCTCTCTCTCTCTCTCTCTCTCTCTCTCCACACACACATGTATGTGTCTGCTTATTTCCATGTGGTCTTCCCCATTAAAATGTACACTTCTCAAGATCAGGGACTTTTTAAAATGGCCTTTCTTGGTATCCCCAGCATTTAGCCCAGTGCTGGCACTCCATAAAGGCTTGTTGACTGACATACAGATATGCTGCTGGGAAGCCTTGGCCTTGCCTTGAATCCATGAGGAAAACATCTCCTCCTCCTCCTCCTTCTCTTCCTCTCCTCCTCCTCTTCTTCCAACTCCCCCTCTCCTCCTCCCCCTTCCTCCTCCTGCTCTTCCTCCTCTTCCTCCTCCTTCCCCTTTCTCCTCCCCTCCTCCTCCTCCTCCTCAGCCCACACCCCCAGGGTGGTTGCAATGCCAGGAGCTTCCTCTAGGCCAGTTTTCCCCACAGGTCCTCCTCCCCCTTAGCCCAGACTGGGGCCCCTCATCTTTTCCCTCAAGCCCTCCCAATCTGTAGTTCCCGGGTGGAGCTGTGATTAATCAGTGACAAGGCTGAAAATAAGAAGAAAAATGTAATCAGCGAGGGGAAGGGACGAGCAGTAATTGAAAAAGCGCTTTGGAGTTAAGATCACTTTAATCAGCTCCTTTTCCTGCTGAGGGCTATTTGATGCTGATTTCACCCAAAAGCTGGGAATGGGGGAGATGGGATTGGAGGGGGCGGAGCCTAAACCCAGGAGTGGATTTATGAGCCGGGGAGGGAGGGAGCCGGAGGGTGTCCTTGGGGCATCCATCTCATACATATAGCTCTATGCATACATATACGTATGTATATCAGAGGCAGGGCCATCGAGGGTAGTGAGCAAGGGGAGTCTGGAAGACCTAACTGGGTTAAGTCCTGACTGACACAGACAAACTATTGGACCCTGGGCAATTTAACGCTGAATGCCCCGGGCAATTCTTAAGGCTTTTAGTTACAAACAGTTGTCAATCTGCATTAGTGGGTGGAGTTTTCACCTTGGGTGGGGTCCACACTCTCAGGTACAAATTCATAGATATAGAAAATATACAAGTGAGCTCATGTATGTTAAGTGCTTTGAAAGCCTTAATGTCAGTAGTAATATGGATATACATAGGTGAGGTGCAAAGTGTGATGGAAAGAAGACTAGATTTGAAATCCGAGGTGGAATCTTGATCAGACTCGGGATCCAGAATCTGGGTGCTAGAATTCGAGTTAGGAAGAACTGGGTTCAAATTCTCCCTCAGGCATTTATAGAATGGGACAGTTAGAAAGGACCTTGGAGGCCATACGGTCCAACCCTCTAATTTTGTGGAACAGCGGATGGAGTGCTGAGCCTTGAGTCAAGAAAGCCGGAGTTCAAATCCCGCCCCAGATGCTAGCTGTGTCTGAGCAGTGTTGTTGTGAGGTTCAAATAAGATAACACTTGTCAAAGTGCTTAGCACGGTGCCTGGCACATACTAGGAGACATATTAATGCTTATTCCTTTCCCCCTTATTGATGCGGGAACTGAGGCCCACCGAGGGAAAATGACTTGTCCAAGATCACACAGCTAGGAAGTGGTAGAGCAGAATTTTGAATCGGGATTTTCTAATTTCAAATCCAGAATCTTTCTCCTCTACCAGGCTGCTGCCTTCTTCTACTCCTCGTGACTTTTCCCCTTCATTTTTCTGACTTAGAAAGCTTTGTGTTAATTCGAGCTTGTCTCTGGCCCATGAGGGAAAGAGGAGATTCCCTATGTAAAGGACTGAAGAATTGGGGAAATCGTAGGACCCTGAGGAATGGGGGACTGGGGGAGGAACCTCCGCCAGTACCAGAGGCTCCCTGACTCAGGTTATTCTGTTTGTAAGTTCAGTGGAGACGGCGCAACCCTCTGAGAAGGGAATGTTGGTTCGCTGCCCCCCCCCCAGAGTCTATTTGCAGTTCTGTGTCCAGGGAAGGCACGGGGCTCCCCTTTTCTACTTGCTCCCCTTTCTTGTCTCCAGTAAGAAGAACTCCAGCTGTGTGTGAGGAGGTGGTGCTGGGAGAAGTAAAGGAGTCGGGGTGGGGTATAATAGGGGAATCGCGGCTGGCCCCTGGCTCATAGACTCCCTATCCCAGCCAAAACTAAAGGAACTGGGACACCAGGCGGACAGGAGTCTCACCTATTCCCCTGACCTCCTCCCCAGGCTCCCAAAGGGTTGAGCTACCCTCCACAGGGACCCAGAGACCAAACCTGTGGCCAAAGAAGCAGGAAAAAGGTGTTTCGTCCCTTTCGGCCCCTGCGCTGGGAGCCAGGATACCTAGGTCCTGCCCCATGGGCCCACCTGCCTGCACCGCCATTTCCTTACCTGCTCCCCTTCCCCTAGGGTGCAAACCTCAGGTGAAAAACACTTAGAGGGCCCTGGAGAACATAGCAGCCTGGTGCTACTCCTACTGGTGCAGGAGTGGGTGGGCTTGGAGAGATGCCCCCGTGACAGGCCAGGGCGCTGGGGCGGGAGGCCGGCAGGACCGGGGAGTGGGCAGCCCGACTTCCACGGAGCCGCCCCGCGTCCGGTTCTTTCTGCGCTCGGGGGTTCAGCCTTGGGGCTCCCCTTTCCCGAGTACTTTTCCAGTTTCTCTTCCGTCCCTCTTTGGGATATATATGTGTTGGGCATTGGGGGGAGCGCGTGTGTATTGTACGTGAGAGAGCGCAGAGAGGATTGAGGAGACAGGGGAGAGCGAGAGCGCAGAGAGGGGAGAGGGGAGAGCGCAGAGAGAGCACACACACACACTCACACACGCGCGCGCGCGCGCGCACACACACACACACACACACACACACACACACACACACACACAACAACGCGGAGAGAAACCAGAGACACTGGGAGGGAGAACGGTACCGAGAGCCCGAGCTAGAGCTGGGAGGGAGGGCGAGCGCCCGAGCTGGGCCAGAGGGAGCCGGCTCGCGAGCCAGCCAGTCAGCCAGCCGGGCGCACCGCACCACGCCGCGCCGTACCGCACCGCACCGGCCCGGAGAGCGCAGAGTGGGCCGGGGAAACTTGGGCCGGGAGGGGGTCGGTGGCTGCGGCCCAGGGCCAGCTGCCCCCGGCGGGCTCCATGAGGCCCTCGGGGCGGGGGCTCCGGGCAACCCCGGCTGGGGGCAGCGGGAGCCTTTGAGCAGCCAGTGGCGGCCCTGGGGAGGAGACTGAGTGCCCTGGCTAGAGAGCGGGCGGAGGCGCGCAGGAGGCGGAGGCGGAGGCGGGCGGGGGCGGGAATGGCCCGGCGCCCAGGGGCGCTGGGCTCAAGCGGGCAGTAGCCAGCAGCCACCGCGGGCCGCGGCCGTCCCTCCGTCCCTCCGTCCCTCCCTCCCTCCTTCTCCCCCTCCCCCTCCCCCTCCCCCAGCCCCCGAGAGCGGGGGAGCGGGGGGGGAGGGAGGGGAGGGGTGGAAGCGGAGCCTAGAGCCCAGAGCCCGAGGAGCCTGAGCCGGAGGCGCGGCCGCGGCCGCCGCGGAGCGAGCTGTCCCTGTCCCTGGGCAGTCGGCTAGGCGGGCAGGCGGACTGCTGCCCCGGGCTCGAACACCCTCCCCGCGCGGCCCCCAGCCTCGGCTCCTCCCCGGGCCCGGCGGGCTCCAAGTGAGCGAGAGCGGCCGTTGCTGTCCCTGCCGCCGCTGCCCCTGCCCCTGCCCCTGCTGCCGCCGCTGCCCTCCGGGGGGTGGCCCGGCCCGCGCAGTCCATGCGATTCGGGATTAAAGTTTGCGCTCGGCGCAGGAGTCCCCAAGATGCCGTTCCACCCGGTGACCGCGGCGTTGATGTACCGGGGCATCTACACCGTGCCCAACATCCTGTCCGAGCAGCGGCCCGTGGAGATCCCGGAGGACGAACTGGAGGGTGAGTGCGGGGGGGGCCCCGGAGCAGCCCTACCTGTTTGCCCGGCTCTGACCAACCCGAGTTGGAACCGCCGCCGCCGCCGCTCGCTAGGGGGGCTCTGGCGACCCTGGTCTCCCCCTCCCCTGCTGACCACTGGGGGGAGGGTCTGCAGGTGCAGGGAGACAGGTGGGCTCGACCTGCGGGGCGAGCGGGAGGGAGCTCCTAACCCGAGCCCGGAGCGCAGACCCATTCCCAGGACCTGGGCGGGGAGGAGGGGGAGGGGGAGGGGAACAGGACCAGAAGTGGGGGTAGTACAGCCTTCTTCCACGGTTCCCCCGGCCCAAACCGCCCCCCCCCGCCCCGGCTCAATCTAGGCGGGTTTCAGATGATTGGAGATGGGCAGGGGGAGGGGGGAAACTTCCCGAACCCCCTCCCCTAGGTCCCACGGGTGGGTGAGGACCCGAAGCTTTAGGCAGAAGTAGCAGAAGAGACCCCCCTACACGCTGCGGGCACCAGCTCGGAAAACTTGCTAACCCCCTCCCCCCTCCCCAGACTAGGCCGGGCGCCCTCCTCCCCTGCCCGTCCCCACCCCCTCGGTAGCGGTGGCACTCACCCCCGGGGAGGGGACAGGGTCGTGGGGGTCAGCATTCCCACGGTGACAGTGCGGAAATGGGCGAGAACGGCTGCGGCCCGGGCAGGGGGCGGGGCTCAGGGTTGGGGGAGAGCCCCCGGCCCCAGTGAATGCGGGGCCAGGGAACCTGCGCGGTGGGTGGGCTCCCCTCTACGCCTCCCTCCCCCCCAATCACCCTCGCGGTTTCTAGCGTAGCTAGCTGGTTCTGTATTGGAATTGACATTCCAGACGTGTCGTTTTAAAAATCCAATCTGTTTGGGCTGGGAGAAGAGGGGAGAGGGGGACAGAGATGGCCGCCGTGCCCACTCCTGCAGAGAAAGCCCCCTCCCCCTGACCCCCTCCCGGTGAAGGCAGAGCCGCTCCCTGGGAGCCACACAACAAGTGGATGGGGTGGGGGTGGGGGTGGCAGCAGACAAGTGCCCGGTGACCCTTCTCTCCTCCTGGCCTGGTCCCCCCCTCGTCTCCAGCCTCTAAGGGTCCTCCCAGGCTCACGTGCAGCCCACAATCCAGAGATGTGTCTGTCACCCCTTCCCCCCACCCCCTTGAAGCCTCTCCTCCCTCCCTCTCTCTGCATCCCTAAGGCTGCCCATGCCACTACTCCCCAGACACCATGTCCCTCCGGGACACCAGCCTGTCTGTTCTCTATTCAGCCTTCAAGTGTCCTCCCCCTTCCTAGGGGCACCAGGTGGCAGCTGAGCCCAACTTGACCTCCTCCCATTCCCCAGGCCACCGTGGCCATCCTTGGCTTCTCAGAACAAGAGGAACCCACCCACCCCTGAGCAGAGTGAGGCCCTTGTTCTAGGATGGAGCTATGGACTGAGGTGTTCAGGGATCTGCTTGTCCCGGAGTCCAGCGTCTGGTCTGAATAGAAGAAGGTGCCCACAAGTACTGCAGTGCTAAGGCAGGGCCTGGCCCACCTCATCCAGTTCCCCGCCTCCCCCTGGGTTGCTGTCCACCAGCATGGCCTGGCCTCTATACATACTAGCTGTTGCTTGGGGGGAATGGGCAGAAAGGCCGAGCAGTGGGGACTGGGTGCCTGCAGATTCACAGGCCTGCTCCCCTGTAACCCCTCTGCAATGTCCTTTCCCACCCGGGCTGCCCTGTGAAGTGGACAGGTGGATGAAGCTGGCAGGGTGGGCAGGCAGGCTGTGCCAAGCTGCAGGGGAGAAGGTCCTTCTGCTTCCAGAGGCCAGGGGAGGCAGAAGAGACCACAGGAGAGGCTTGAGCAGCTCCCCTTTAAGGCATCCTAAAACATGAGTCCTGTTAGAAGCCGGGGAATGCTGCCCTGGACAGCGGCTCAGGCACTAGTACCAGGTCCGCCAGTTTGCCCTCTCTCTGGCTAGGAGAAGCAGACAAGTCCTTTGACCCTTCTCTATTGGATAATTGGAAAGACGAACACTGGGCCATTAGAATGTGTTGGTCAGGTGCTTTGAGATCACGAGAAGAATGCAGTGGCTGTCCAGGTTGGGGGGGGGTGACCCATAGCTGTGAGTGTCCCATGTCATCAGAGGGTGGCAGAGGAGAGGGGAGCTCCCTACTGCAGAGGGGGTGCAAGCTGCAGCTGGCCGGGCTAAGATCTGCGTATGTTCTGAACAGCTGGGAGATTGGGGGTGCTGGTGATGATGAGAACTCCATTCAGGCTCTTTGGGGGCAGGGGAAGCTGGGAAAAGTAGGAGGCTGGACAGATATGCCTTCTGTCCTTGCCTTTTGGGGAATCTCAGGACCTAGAACTGCTCGCAGACCTGAAGTCAGGACTAGTGGGGGCAAGTCAAAGGGTCCCTCTCATGGCTCTGGCTGCCTCTGGGGCACCCTCACCTACCACAATGCCTTGGGAGGCTGGGGAAAGGACAGATGGGGGGGTGTTAAGTGGTGCATAGAGACATTTGATGCTTGAGGACTTGTGCGTAGGAAGGAGGGATGTAGTGAGAGCCTGAGAAAGGAAGGATGGCAGTGTCAGAGGTAGGCGTCAGACCCAGGACCTCTGACCTCAAAGGCAGTGTTCTCTCCACTATTCCCCCAACCTCCACCAGGCTAAGCCCTTGTCTTAGCCCATTCTAGTCTCTTCCTGATCCCACCCCTGGCCTGAGGCTGAATGGAGCCCTACCAGACCCCAAACAGCACCTGAAGTCCTCAGCTCCAGGTCTGGATTGAGAGACAACAAGAGATTGGGGAGATGAAGCACTTGGCCAGGGTGATGGGGAAGTGGAGGAAGCAGTGGGTTGGATGGGGTGGGAGTATGATGCCTGGGCTGATTTTAGGCATCGAGGAGAAAGTGATAGGGCAGGGACAAGAGAGATTGGGTAGGGAGAGGGAGAAAGGGTAAAAAGACCTGGGACTCCTTGGAAGAAAGCAAATGGAGACTCCCTTCCTGTCCTCTTTCCTTTCCTTGCCTGAGACTTCCATGCCCCATCTTCCTCTCCTCTCTTCTCTTCTCTCCTCTCCTCTACCCTCCTGTCCTATTCTCTTGTCTCCTCTCCCCTCCTAGTCTCTCCTCTCCTCTCCTGTCCTTTCCTCTCCCCTCTACATTCCCTTTGCTACTAATCCCCCACCTTCTCTGTTTTTGCCAGCCTGGCAGTCCCTAACTCTGCCAATATTTTTGCCACTGGCAGCAGAAAGGACCCTTCCTGTCTGCCTCTCCTTGCTTCACTATCCAGTAGCCCTGTCTCTTAAGAAGGAGCCCCCTCCCCATTCTCCCTCCCTTCTGAACTCCCACACTTCTGCTTTCTGCTTTCCTCCTGAAGCTGGACCAGGTGATCCCCAAAACCCAGTTTTTTTCATCGAATGATATAAATGCAACCCCCCCTCATCTCTGGTCTGGCAGGCCTCTTCTGGCTTCCTCCTGCCTCTTTCCAGTATGGGAGGGGGGAGGCTTTTTCCTTCCTTCCTTCCTTCCTTCCTTCCTTCCTTCCTTCCTTCCTTCCTTCCTTCCTTCCTTCCTTCCTTCCTTCCTTCCTTCCTTCCTTCCTTCCTTCCTTTCCCATTCTTGCCTTCCAAAGGCAGGAGACTTGGCTTGGGGTGTGGGAGTTTTCCAGTCCTCAACCTTCACAGAGGGAGAAGAGAAGCAGGGATGGGCTGGGCCGACAGTCCTCTGCAGATGGGTGAAGGAAGGGGTGCGGGTCCCCACAGAGTCTTCGGGCTAGAGATTCTGGGAAGGAAAAGGGAGCCTGCATCCCCCTTCCCCAGGCTCAGCAGCTGCAGAAAGGGGCTCTGTCCCTCTGTAGACTTGCTGGCGAGAGACCAAAGCTGTATTAGTCAGCGGCCAAACCAAATTTATTTGCTCTGTTTGTTCCCCCCCACCCACCCTTCTTGACTCAGAAGTGAAACCAAAGTTGTCTGGGGCATCTGAAGGGCAGGGCCAGGCCAGGTACAGCAGGTAGGAGGTGAGAAGGTGGAATCTCCAGAATGGTCCAGGGAGCCCCAGAGGTTTGGGGTCTCCTTCCATACACTGCAGATCTCCACACAGCTTGTAACCCCTCTCTCCCTGTCCTCTCTGAGGAGGAGACCTGAAGCCCCTGAGCCTGGGCAGGGCCAGATGCCTTCCTCTGTGTCCTCTTCCTGCCTTCCCTGTGTCAAGTCCCCCTAAAGGGGGTCACTTTTTAGCCCCCAGTTGCTATTCCCACTCCCAAAGACCCTGACTTGGCAGAAAGGGCATTGTCATAGGGTGTACAGGGGTTCTGCCACACTAGGAAGGAAGGTAGGGGTGGGGGGATCAGAAGAAGGCCAGGCCCAGCTCAGAGAGGACAGAGCTGATTCCTGTTCCCCTGCCCCCACACCTACCTCCACCCCCCACAACTGGCCAGTTCACACCTGGAGCCTAAGACTCCTCTCTACAAAGGTTTTCTTAGTAACATGGTGTTGTAGAGAGGGCTGACCCTTTCAGAGGAACTGACTCATAATTGAGATCATGCAACCTTTCACCTAAGGGTCTTGGGGCCAGTCACTGAGCCTCATGGCCTTTTCTGTGGAACAAGAGGGGTGAAACATTGCCCTCTCGGATCCCTTCCACCCTTGACCACAGGAGAGGCACACCCCCCAGGAAGGTTAGAGCCCCCACCTGTCTGAGGGAGCCAATAACTCCTACAGGGATCCAGGAGCCACCAAGGGAGTCAAAGCTTTCTGCCCATAAAAGGAAGGGAACTCAGCTGCCCCCATTAAGAAGTGGGTAGTCAGGTAGAGGCAGGTGAGCTGGACGCTGGGACACCCTGGAAGACATTGGCACCTTGGCTGGTCTGGGAACTGGCTTTGTGACCCAGACCAATGGGCTTCCCCTTCTGCTCTAGGCCTTAGTTTCCTCATCATAAAATGTGAAGGTTAGACTTCACTAGATGGTTTCTAAAAGCCCCTTTCTAATCTGACATAGTTGTATTCTCTAAGATCCCTACTAGTCAGG